CCCAGTCGAATTGATGTCCTTGGTTGTCTGTATGTAGTGATATGAGGGAGTGGATATCATGTCTTTTGACAGCTAGCTTATGTTCGTGGATACGAAGACGAAGGGGACGTCCACTTTGGCCAATGTAGTGTTTTTCGCAGTTGATGCAATCTATTTTGTAGATGATGTTGGTTTTATCTTCCTTCGCTGTTGAGTCTTTTGGTTGACATAGAATTGAGTGAAGTGACTTTGTTGGTTTGTGTACGACGTCAATTCCTAAAGGTTTGAAGAGTCTTGTAGTGATTTCTGAGATGTCTTTTATATATGGTAAGGCGATTTTCTCTGTGCTTTCCTTGGGGGCTTTTGGTTTGATAGGTTGGCTTGGAGGTATATGTCTTTTGATGAAATTCCTTGGATATCCATTCTTTTGGAAGACATCCATGAGATGTTTTTCTTCAATTTTGCTTGAGGTGGGAGTGCTGCAATGAGTCCTGGCTCTCTTGAATAGTGTTTGTATGCAATTCCTCTTGTATGCTATTGGATTGTTGCTGTTGTAATTCAGGATTTGGTCTGTGTGAGTTGATTTTCTATAGACTTGAGTTTCTAATTCCCCTGTCGTTGTTCGCTTGACTAAGACGTCCAAAAATGGGATTTGGTTTTCTGATTCCTCTTCTCTTGTGAATTTGATGTCGTTGAAGACGTTATTTATCAGGCGTCGAGTGCTAGGTAAGGAGGGCAAATCAATCGACGAAACGGTGAAATTACTTCGACTGAGATGGTTAGGACATGTGTTACGTATGCCTAGTCATCGCCTTCCTCGACAATGGGCAATGTTAGCTGATATAGGGCCAGGCTGGAAAAGAGCTAGCGGCGGTCAAACGAAAACATGGCACCAGTCAATGAAATCCACAACAGTCAGCTTAAGCCACGTAGGAAGATGTAGACTTCCTGGTTGGGGTCCTTGGGACGGTAAAAACCAATGGTTGGAAAAAATTGGTGACATGGCTCAAAATCGTTGTCAGTGGCGCAGATGCATCCACTCCTTGTGACTTATGATTTCCAGTTAAACTGTTTTGTTCTTTGTTATTACTATACCTTTGTCTCATACCGCTGTTTACTGTCTATATTATGCATTTCTTCTACTTTCTTCTCTTGCTTTGTGTGCTACATGGAGTGTAGCGACTTGAACTGCCGCACATATGTGCAAAGTTCTCTGTCGAAAACAGACAGACAGACAGACAGCATACGCTCAGCCCATCTCCATTTTTTTTCCTACATATCTGTTCAGCGATTGGCTCTTGGTTAGTTCGTCCATCACCAGAGTTTCTTGTTGCTAATTCTTTCTGGCTGGCCATTTGATATTCACTATGGAGCGAAGGCAGCTGCTGATAAAAGTTTGCAGCCTGTCGGAAATCCTTTGCCTTACATGCTAAGTTTCTGACTCATATAGAACTCACTTGACATTGGTGGTGAAAATTCGATTCTTATTCTTAATGTCGTGGAGTGCAGAAGATTTCAAAACTGATTTCAAATTGGTGGTGTATCTTGCCTTTCCAGTTCTTGTTTTGACATCTTCATCCTTCCCGTCTGCGTTCGAAACATTGCTTCCTAGATAAGTGAAAAAGTAACCGCTTTCGAGTTTCTCCCATTGACAGTGATTGGTGCTGACTGTTGTTGCTGGTTGGTCATCTTCATCACCTCATTTTCTATATTCACCTGGAGTCTTGTCTTCAATGCTTCTTCAGCCACTTAGCTGGTTTTCGTCTACAAGATTTCTATTTTGTGTAACATGAGACATGAATCATCCAAGAAATCCAGATCTTTTAGAGTCTTCTTACCGGTTCAACGTATTCTTGCCTTCTCGCTCCCGCTCATAATCCAGCCCATCAAAATTAAGAATATCATCGGTGGTAAGAAGCAGCCTTGTCTTACTCCTGTATTCACTTCGAACGCCTCGCTGAGTTTTCCGTTGTGGATCACCTGACACGTGCCACTGTCATATAGCTGTTGAATGAGGATGATAAAGACCTGAAGCATGCCATAGTGTTGAAGTGATTTCCAAATTACTTCGCGATCAATTCTGTCGAAGGTCTTTTCGAAGCCGATGAAGTTAAGGTAGACGTTTGAGTGCCATTCTATGCTTTGTTCGATGATGATCAGTAGAGTTGCAGTTTGATCAGCAAATGATTTGCCTTTCCTGAATCCACCTTGTTCCGGGTGGATAGGTGGTATTTCAAAATAGTTCAATCGTAACTTTCTCTAGCTATCAAGTTTATGTGAAACAATCTAACCGAAACATTTACGTTCTCATGTATACAAACTTTTCAACATTTCATGCTACAGCTTTTACAAGGACTTAAAATGGGTTGACACAAAAAGTTAAAACAAAATCAAATCTGCGTACAACAATAACAATGGATATGTGTGCTACGTGGAGTGTGGCGACTCGAACTGCCGCACATCTGTGCAAAGTTCTATGTCGAAAACAGACAGACAGACAGGATACATTGAAGTGGCTAATGCGTTTCTAAATTTTAATGACAGTCATCTAGGTTGTGAAACTTTGCAACTGAACAGCCCGGTAGACATTTTTGTAGCAGCCAGTGAACCAGACTATATATGTAAAGACTTTTGATACACTAGGTCTTTTGTGTAAGCACTATATCTAAGTTTACGATTCTGAGACAAGTGTTGCTTGTTGGAGATAATTTCTATTTCTCATTGGTTGACCAGTGGTGTGCCGAAATGCTTAGTCTCTGATAACACGTCGGCCTCGAGGATTTCTAAGGACTAACGTGATTTTATTTGGTTGACAGTGGTTGGCAGTGGGATCCAGGAAGAGTATTTCATCCCATTTAGAGCTCATCATCAGTCACAGTTTATTCGAGTCTCCGCGGGAATACCATAACCTACTGGTGATACAGATGATGAGCTCCAAATAGGAGGAAATGACTATCCTCGATGTCACTGCCAGAAACCATCAACCAACCAAGATACAAGTGGCTGATCAGCGCATCACGTATATTAATCAACCAAAAAATCTACTTATACACAGCTGTCTGACTATGCATTCAACATAGTATCGTAGGATGAGTGTTCGACGAAATATTGCCGAAAATGACCACTGTAATTGCTGGAAAGCAGACAATGTTGTACATAAAAAATGTAAATTCGCACCACTTACATGACTTGAAGAAACTAAAAATCTGTCCTATTTTAGAAACCAGCCTTTAATGACAAGACTGAGATGGTTGACTACATTAGACTAAAACAATAGGTACTTAAGAATCTCATGGACAACTGGTTTATAATAGAATAAAATAATTCAAAACAACCATTACAATGTGACATGTACGAAGTACTATTGTTTACTCATCATTGTTAGTTTGAAAATGCGTTATTTTATTATATGTGGACCGGTTTAGCAAAAAAACAGACACGAGTTACACAGCAGATCAAAGTCATCACGATACTGTAAAGAAACATTATTGAAATAATAGAGAAGATTTGTAGCTCAGGTGGATGATTTGCAATTAATGGTGTTCTCAGAGCTGGTTGGCTTAGTTGCGGAGCTTTCGTCGTCCTTCTGGGCAACATCTTCAGCGCAATATTTAGCATAAAGTGAAATGATTTAAATTTCTTCATATTGTACTGAAAATGTTGTGAAGAAGGACAACGAAAGCTCCGCAACTAAGCCAACCAGCTCAGAGAACACTATTAATTGCAAAAGAAACATTATTTCTAGCAAGTATCAACTTCTTGTTAAATGACAGCAAACTGATGTCAGTAGTAAGAATGAGCCTAATTTTCACCCAACTTTGACGTATGACTACATCCAAGAGTTTTTTTTATCTTAGTAACCCATTTCCTTTAGTTTCTTTGTATTAATTATCAGTGTTTCTATTTATTTCACATCATTTAAGTGTTTATATCACAAATTCTTGCAGCAAGACAGAGGCACATAATCTAAACGTCATTGTTGATAAGATGCATGATAGCCCGAAAAGACAAGTTATTGAGTGTCGCTCTGCGCTATTAAAACGAAATAACAATGTATACGCGGTTTGATATCACCTACTACATGACTACCATAGAAAAAAATATCATTATACCAATAAGAGGAAAGTTGAAAAATAGTATAGAGTCAACAATCAAACATGTGACTGTGAGTAGTAATATTGTACAGCATAAGCTTCAATTTCAAAAATCCTAAATATATCCAATTATTTAAAATGATTTAAGTGAGAAGAACACGAAGGTAAACACTCTCCATTCGAGAAAATGGCTGACAGCTAACTGATGATTCAACATGAAACTCCACACAAAAGCGCTTCAATTAAAGTTACCACTCTAGGACAAAGCACTGAAAGGAAGGGAACTGAAGCAGAATGATACCACAATAGAAAAACAGACACCATGGGACGAATGATTCTGTGAAGATTACTGAGGCTTTTCGGAATTTGAAATGTGACAAGAATAGAGTAAGTCTGTACCACAGACAATTGTTTTTATCCTTTTCACTAATAGTCTTCAAGCACTGATTCATAACAAAGCGAAAATCTTAGTCAGGCAACTCACACCTACATATGTGATTCAGATTAGCAGCCATGGACAGGCGCTGTATTTTCGCCTGACGACTTCCAACTCATTTCTAACCTAATTCAACTTCTCCATTAAATAAAACGTTAGATATATCCCACAATTACACGGTGCTATTTACGGGAAAATAAAGAGTGATAAGACCAGTGCTATTGTAATTCATTTTTGGTCAAACCATTAAGTTTCAGATTATTAATTCCTGGAATTTCCAGCAGATCCATCTGATTCCACAGTAGGTCGTACAGGAAAAACATAAAGCCACTACGGAGTCAAATTCAAGCAGCATTATTCTTAGAAATGAGTTATCAGCATGTCACAGTGTAAAGAAATAGCAAATGAATCATGAAACTTGAAAAAACAATTATGATAAATCAATTAGTGAAAAGTGAATAAATATTAGAAAACCGAAACTGAAGCCTTACTCTGTGGTCAAACGTTATTTGGAATTCCCGTTCCAATTGAGTCAAGAGAGCTGCTTTGCAACTGGAATACAACATTCGACTTTTCACTGAGCTCTGATAACCGGATATCGTGTGGATAAAAACTAAAATAAACACATACAAATGGATTTGTAAGAATTAAAACTTTATATTATTTTATTATTATTCCCTTGGGTTCCTAGTGGCTTGAACAGCACATCTCTAATTTGTTTGTTCTCTGCAGTCCTCTTCAGTTGGTCCCAAGATTGCCAATAGGCTAACATCTTCCTCCTCACACGTTTTACTCCATGTCAACCCTGGACCCCGGCCCAACTTATCGTCTTCCATTCATGTTTCACTCGAGGACCCGGCACGAGATGTCACCCGATAGTCTCCCCACCGTGTGTCCCGCCCATCTTCAATTTCTTCTGCATGGTCACTGAGTAATAGGGTCTTGGATGGTTCATTTTCAATGTCTTGTTGCTAATTCTTTCTGGCCATTTGACCTCCACTATGGATCCAACGAAGGCAACTGTTGATAAAAGTCTGAAGCAAGCTGTCAGATATGCGTTTGCCGACGTTCAAAGTCTCTAAACCACATCGAAAAACTGACGTAAAATTGGTGTTGAAAATCCAATTCCTGTTCTTTATGCTGAGTGTAGAAGATTTACAAAGTGATTTCAGAGTGATGAAAGTCTGTCTTGCTTTTCTGATACTGGTTTTGAGATCTTCATCCGTGCCACTTGTAACTCAAACAATGCCGCTTAGATAAGTGAAGGGACTGACCTCTTTAGGATCTACTCCACTGATAAGAATTGGTGCTGGTCATTGGCTAGGTATCTGCATCACCTCCGTTTTCTCCATGTTCACTTGTAGTTCTGTCTTTGCTGCTTCTTCTGTCATATTTTTGGTTTTCGACTGAAAGTCATCGAGTTTGTGTAACATGAGACATGAATCATCCAAGAAATCCAGATCTTTTAGAGTCTTCTTACCGGTTCAACGTATTCTTGCCTTCTCGCTCCCGCTCATAATCCAGCCCATCAAAATTAAGAATATCATCGGTGGTAAGAAGCAGCCTTGTCTTACTCCTGTATTCACTTCGAACGCCTCGCTGAGTTTTCCGTTGTGGATCACCTGACACGTGCCACTGTCATATAGCTGTTGAATGAGGATGATAAAGACCTGAAGCATGCCATAGTGTTGAAGTGATTTCCAAATTACTTCGCGATCAATTCTGTCGAAGGTCTTTTCGAAGCCGATGAAGTTAAGGTAGACGTTTGAGTGCCATTCTATGCTTTGTTCGATGATGATCAGTAGAGTTGCAGTTTGATCAGCAAATGATTTGCCTTTCCTGAATCCACCTTGTTCCTGTAGGAGTTTTGTGTTCAGTGCATCTATTATTTCCCTTGATGATGATGCAACTTAGTATCTTCCTTGGCATGGACAATTTTCGCACAAGCACAAGTCAGTCTTTGGTGATTTCAAAAGGTAGCCCTTCCCCTAAACAGTGGGTACCTTTCTTTCCTTACAACCCTTTAGCAACAGTGGCGTCAGCATATCCGCTGCGATCTCTGGATCAGTTTTCACTACTTCCGGAAGAATCCCTTCTGGTCCTCCTGCCTTCCTAACTTTCAGTAGCTTTATCGCATTCAAGAATTCTGCTTTTCTTGAAGGATCGGTGTCCACTGGCAACTCTGTAGCTGTTGTGGACAAATTTCAGGTGATGGTCGGTTAAGGAGTCTTTTGAAGTGAAGTGTTTTCTTTGTCCCTCGTTTATGTTAATTAGTTTCCTATGACTACATTTTGTTGATTTCATCTGCGTCGACATCTTCCTGGAATGAGACCTGGTTATCCGATACGATGTCTTGAAGTCTCTTTTACCTGCGAACTGTTATATCTCAGTTGCCAGTATATAGTAGAGTGGTATTTTGTCTTTCCTAGTACTCTTCCCTTCCTTATTCATTGAGATGTATATTGAACCCAGATTCTCCTTCTGTGGTTCATCTTATTTCACCGTCCTCCTCTCTTCTATTAGCTTTCAGGGTTTAGTGGACAGCAATTTTTTTTGTTTTACCTTTCTCTTCTTCCTAAAAACGGCTGTACTTGTTTCCGTGAACATTACTTTCAGAGAGTTCCAGTGTTCTTCCACACAGGTTTCCTCAGTGAAGTTACGTATTGTCTGCAACTTTGTTCTGACGGCTGCAGTGGAAGTTCTGCAGTTTCTGAATGTTGAATTAGAATTGTGGTCTGTCTAAGTTGTTTCGAAGCTTGACCCTGAGGGTTCCTTGCACTAGATAATGGTCTGAGCAATTAGAGACTAGAAAATCTTTCAAATTCATGACATGCAAAATGGTATAAGATTTCGACTTCAAAACTTTAACCTTTTTATTACATTTACGACTCAACAATATTCATTTCATCAGTCATTCTGGAAGAACTACTGAAAACTGAAGACGATAATCTCGATAAACTATTAATACAATAATATAAAGGACTACCATCTTATCTTCAAATCTCTTCTTACTGTAATAGGTCCCGATGGTAGCGCATTATAGAAGGGCATAAATATTAACCGCGTCTATCAAGACAAAATGATAAGAACTTTAGACACGACTACATCACACTTCAGTTATTAGCTTTTAATGAGTATTTTTCCACAATTTCACTCCACAGATGATGTGAAGTAACATTGCATCCCGCTAAGTAGTAGTTATCCAAGACACCAATGCAAAAGGAATGGGTCCGAATACCTCTTACAAAGTAGAAATTGTAACTAGAGGATGTGGGAAAATACATAGATGGAGTTTGGAATATGAGTTCTTTTTCGTGATTATGTATGTGCCCTAACCCTTTTAGGTGTACGCAAGATAGAGACGAAAGAGATAAAGTGCACGTATGATTAAGAAAAAAGAGACAATAACGAGTAAATGGGGAGAAAGAATGATGCAGAATGCGAATCTTATTATATCAGCCTTCAAGAAACACAACAGCCACAATAGAAACTCACTGTAACAAAGCTCTTAATAAATTTTTCCTAGTTGTGTAACAGTGTTAATCTAAAAATGTACCATATGCGCTACAACGTAGCTAAAAACTACCACCCCGTAAAGTCTCCGAATTTCAGCCCAGTCGTTTGATGAAATGTGGGTTTCCTAGGTAGTATTCTCAAGATATTCCAAATCACTGACTCTTTAACATATTCTGAATTTTGAACATTTGCGTGCACCTTCGTCTATATATTTTTTCTGTATTTAACACCTTATACTAGCATTCACTTCATGTGCGACTACAAGGTGCGGAGTAACTAAAATTAAACACCTAATAACTGCGTAGATCTAACCACTTAGGCCCTTCATGTACTCCACGACTGCTTCAGTCAATACAGTGCATTGAGGTTGGTGACGACTAAGAGTGATTCAAAAAAATTACTAGCTAAATAAAAAGGTAATTTTATATATGACTAAGCTTATAACTAGTTAAATTAGATATAAGAAAAGAGAACAGTCACACTCGTTGTCCATTCATTTTCATATGAGACAACTTTGTTTGATTAAGCATACACCACACTATTTTATCAAGTGGACAACGTTTCGAATAGACTGCATTGTTCACAAACATGTCATGCTAACTATCACATTCTATAACCTTTTATTTAGTTTCACTTTTGTGGATTTCAGTGGTGATAGTGTTCTTCACACATACATGGTAGGTGTGGCATCACTCCTATTGTACACCCCAAGTAATGGTTCGAAATGCAATGATTCCATAACCAACCTATCCTTATCTGTTACTTTGCAAGAACTACTGTTATACATTTTTATACGGTTGTATCTGCATGTGTAACACCAACTAATTTTTCCTAACTATTCATCTCAGAGGGGTTGGTGATTTTTGACTTAGTTGAATTCTTAGGTAGTTATTGTCCGAGATTAGTTGGAAAACTGTTTCAATCTAGTTTGAAACTTTTCAATACTGCACACCAATGACCCTTCACACGGTTGTGACTGAAGTCGTCAAATTAGGAAGTGAATAGGATGGAGTTTAATAGCGTACAATTCCGAACTTATATTAATAGAGTAGGCAGTCATCATTTCTAACTATTGTGAGTTTGTGATGAAGTCTTTAAAATCAATTAAGCTGTTACAGCCATAAATTCTCATTCTCCGATGACTTCCTTACTGACTCCAATTAACTGATCTGACATACTCATTTAATACATTGTTTTATGTAACATGCTAGGCGGAATCCTTTAGACCAAAAGGTATATCTCTAAGTGGATTTGTAGGGTTGAATACCATACAACTTCCAGTCTTATTACGAACGATACATAATCACAACTTTTTTTCACTTTGATATAAGTTAGGGATGCATTTTTGGAATAAATGGCATAAGTAATTATGTACTTGTATATACTATTCGAACCGTTTGGCATGAAAATGGAATCGCTTTCTAACTGAACATGACACTAAAAATACTACCTCATATTGATAGCTAACTTACAAGTGGCAGCATGTTCTTCACCTTCATGTAAATATCGAAAACGATAAAGATGATAACGACCCTCCTTCTCTGGACAACATTTAACGAGTGCCCGTGGGGTAATATGTTCATGGGCCTCACAAACTTTGATTATTTCATTCTCAATATCAATAGCCTATCAAAAAATAAAGAAAAATAATCATACTAAATGTATCAACAATAATATGTAAAAGGCGAGCGTAAAATTCCTTCAACCCACGAGACAAATTACAGTCACTCATCGTCATTCAGAAGTGCGTAGAAGTACAAAATTAGAAACAACTGTTAAATTATATTAGTCTTCAAAAAAGACTGCTGCACAATACTTTAAGGGGTAGCAAATCTCAGGCAAGATGAAAACAAGGATCAAAAAGATATTCTAAATGTAACTTTCTACAACGGCTTTAAGGTTGATAGTACAGACAAAACTCCGCACCCAGCAAACACGATCAGCATTAAATGGTTATTCTTTGGACTCCAAGTTTACACGAAAGTACAGCTTTTTCTTTTTCAAATAGTCCAAAAAGAAATAACCTTCTTAGGTGTTGGCAGCAATAAAGCACAAACTATTTGCACGCTTCTATCTGTTCACAAAGTCCTCTTATTACTTACTCTAATCATCTTTATTCTCCTATTTTCTTCAAACTTTAGTTTCGTCAATTAATGACTGTTTTTATACACCAGGTCCCCTTGATTCGTATGAACAAAACAGGAATGAATATATTTGCAGAATAAAAACTCGAGTAGACGCTCTTTTTAATCTTTCTTATGTACTTGTTACCAAAACTGTATGTCAATTGGCAAGTATATCTAGAACTGACATGAGCAGGATATTGTCGACTGAGTTAATGAACATCTTGTGGCATAAAGCGGATATAATCTAGAGGTGGAAGACACTTTTGATTACTTCTTCGATTCTTGTTGATGCTGTTTTTTATATATACGCGAGATGGGATAAAAACTGGTTCCCTTTCAACCGTTGTAGGCTGCAGTCAGGATATTTCTTCTCTTCCATATTTCAATATGAACATGCTAAGATTTCCATCCCCAAATACATTATTTTCAACAATCATGACTTTCCATAACACTCACTCTCCTTAAAAGCCTTTTGAACAGACTCCGCTTGCAACCGATTGGGCAAAAACTGTTATAATTTAAGTATTAACCCATTCAGGCATCTTTCTTATGGGTAGTTTTTTCAATTATCCCATCAATTCTTTATATAAGAAGTTATATGCTCAAACCACTGAGTACAAAAATTCTACAATACCCTATTTACCCCGTATTTTACGTGATGACGCGAAACATATAAGTTACTATGTAATTAGCAAAGTGAATCGACCCTTTCATCGTTCATCTTTCTGTAATTTTATAGTGTCACCCTTTCTATCGTTTAATCATAACTTAGCGATTTTATTTTAGTTGTTACTCCATAATGGTTACCACAGTGCTCAAGTTTTATACTTATATTTTAGTTGTTATTACTATTATTATCACAACTTTATACTTTATGCATATTTTTCTCCTTATCGCATATTGTAATTTGCTACAAGCTGCTGTTACAATGTTTCGTTATTATTATTAAGTAATGCTTATTTTTTTTGTCGTTTCGAGTAAATTAGATGCAATAATGTACTGAATGCTGAAAATTCCTTGCTGTACTGTTTTTGGAATAAAGCAAAAATTATTGTTATCATTTTATCCTAGAGTGCAGAAATTTGGACTGTTTTTCGCGTTTATAACCCATTGAAAAACTGTACGTGAGGGTGAGCTGCATTTAAGTTTTCAAACATCAGTGACAGATTACTGCAAACATCAAATGTGTCATCAGCATAACTGCAGTAACATTTAATTTTCTGTATTTGTTTCAAATAGCCTCTATTCAAGATGGACCATGAATATGTTCGCAAGAACGGGGCCATAAGATGAAACTTTAGCTATTTTACCGGTATTTAGTTATTGAACTGGAATTAAATATTCTCAAAGTAATATACAAAATTCAATCAAACCTATCAAAGGGAATCAAATCAAGACATCTGGGCATAGCTGAGGCGCTAGCTATCCAAAAGCTCAAACCCACACTTTGTATCCAAAAGAATTACGTCCAAACCCTCTCCCTACCATGGCCATCATAAACAGGTAAAAATTTTTAGTAATGACAATCTCATCGCCTTTCTTATCTAAACTTCCTGTTTATTCATGTTATTTTAAGTTTTCTTAAACCCTGTTTACACTACCATATTTTCATACCCACTCTTCCTGTTTATTTTGTCATTTTACTATTTCTACATATTTAATCCCTGATTGCATAAACAATTATTCATCATATTAGTTTTTTTATCCAAACATCCTGTATATTTTGTTATTTCTACATTTATAACCCCCAATTGCACAATGTCAATCTTCTTAGTTATTATGCTACTTTATTTGAGTTTTACCCATCCCCCCTGTTTGTTATGTCATTTTAATTCCTACTTGTAATTTTTTACTAATTTGACCCCTAACCAGAAATTATTCTGGAACTTTCCTATCCATTTGATATAAATACACGAATGTACAGCCTAGATGATGACTTCGTCGAAAAGAAAATTTTCTTCGCTGCAATTGTCTTTTTATTAACTCCTATGACCCAATGTGTATATTCTCAAGTCGTTTTAAGAAATGGAAAGCACCTCAGATTGTAGCCAAATGATTTTCACTGTTTCTTCACTGGGTATGCTTGTAGGTAACAAACATACGTCATAAGACACTAGGAGTTTGTTTGAAATATTCAGTCTACATGAAAATTGAAATGAATTGGCGGTACTGTGGACTATCTTTCCCTGGATTCGCTCCAACTTTTGTCCCAACCAACTAGCTAGTTTATGTCATGGTGATTTCACCACTGACCTTATTGGCTTCAAGGACACATCTGACTTTTGGACTTCGGGTAGACCATGCATGAGCTTCTTGGTTTCTGGTTGTTGATTATTCCTTTCTTTAGAAGATCCTTGGCATGATTGTTTGATTTTGAAATTTGTAGTTGCATCGTTTTTTGTCTTATCTACCACTCTTCGTTTACAGATGTTAAGTCAAATGGATGACAGTACAGATACTCCAACTATATTTCTGTGTCAATTCCGCGGAAAGACGAGTTAGGCACACGGTTCTTAGGTCGTAGAGATAGAGCTTCTACTTTGACTTCATTCACTTTTATTTTCGTTAGACACCATATGTATTTCTAAGGGGGTTGTGGGAATTATTCATGTAATTTCTGAAATATCGGAGATTTTCTAAGTCTCTTCGATTAAGTACAGAATTCGGACACTGTAGTCGAGTATAACTCCATTACAGATAAGATTTTATTTTGATAAATCACACAATGTTATACAGTAATATTAACTGATGACGTTTCGAGCACAAACTATTGCTCATAATCATATCAAGGTATTCACACAACTTTCTTGTTTCGCTTATATACATCAGTAAAATTGACTAGACATTTGAATAAAATCAGTATAGGACACGCGTAAAACAGAAAGGAAGACAAAGTATATTCGGAAACAATATTAGTGTTATCAATGATATACAATATTGTTTCCGAATATACTTTATCTTCCATAGTAGACTGACTACCAACACTCATCTTAATTCCCATTGTATTATATTTATTGATAACACTAATATTGTTTCCGAACATACTTTACTTTTCTCTCTGTTTCACACATGTCATATATTGATTTTATTCAAATGTCTAATCAATTTTTACTCATGTATATAAGCGAAGAGAGAGAGTTATGTGAGTAGCTGGATATGAATATGAGCAATGAATTGTAATCAAAACGTCATCAGTAAATATTACTGTATAACACTGTGACTTTATCAAAATAAAATTTTATCCAAGATGGAAAGAAATAAGTTGTTTTCATCCTGCAAATATGTTCGTTTCCGCCTTGTTCAAACTAACATTTTTCTGCACACAGCTTCTTAACCTCTTAAATTTGTAACCATTATAAACAAATCAAGCCGGATAAACATCGTTACCCGTCCCTTAAAGCCACACTGTATACTTTACGTTGCAACTTTCAATCCCCCGGTCCTATACAGAGTACAAGACAAAAGAAAGTTTGATCAAAGAATATTCTTCTCGATGATATACATAGTGTTCAAGAATAACCGTTATTAACAATATTGTTGTTTTCAAATAATATCAAGTTGTTAAGATCAATAGAATTACAGTTCAAGAAAGATGCGTAAGCGATAATAAAAATATAAGTGTGACGCTGAATTGAATATCAGGTAAAATTAAGAAAAGGTATGCAACAATTAAAGATAGTTAAAACACTGATGGCCAAGGTAGGGAAAGCGCCTGAACGAACTTCTTTTGAACACACGAGCCAGTCTTCTAAAGGTGGGCTCCGACAACTTCAGTCATGTGTAATAGACAAACTCGTGAGGTAAAATTACGATTAGTAGGAATACGGTAGACAACTTTCAGACTTTCCAAGACTCGATTTTGTACTCAGCATCCCACAAAACGAGTCTGTTTGTGTATCTATCACTTTGACTGCTCCTGTGGCGTCAGTTGCACCAAGCGTACAATCAGACATGTTTATCATGGGATTTTCGAACATCCTGCGTGTTTAAACAACGGATAGACAAGGTCTTTTCGCACTTGTATTCTAGCACATCTTGTGGACACTGAATGAACACAAAATAGAGTATTTGAAAGTTTCTGAAAGTTATCTACTGTATTCGTACTGATCTTAATTTTACCTTATGAGTTCGTCTATTACATATGGCTGAGGCCGTCGGAACCCACCTTTAGAAGACCGCCCACACCGTGGAAGTTGATTTTCTGCTGCGGTAGTTGAAACGGAAAGCGAATTAGTTTTCCGTGACCACAGCGCCCAAGGGACAAATGCCTTAGGCTAGCACCACCCACGGCCTGCTTGAATCGGTTTATAGAGTTGTTCCAGTATTAAGAACTTACCTCCATCTCCCGGACCACCGTGTGGGGTAAGTTGTGGTGTACAACCTTTGGAGTCGACTCTTTCTAATCCCCCTTTCCAGATTGGAGAGGCGGCATAAATGGGATACCGGTCATCTGAGGGAAACACTTTACTGCTGTTACATTCCTGTTCCCCAGCAGTACGA